AGCATGGCCATTCCCCCTGGGGGGGTGGTTTCTTGCTTTCTGTCTCTCTGTCTCTCTCTTTCTGGCGAGTGCACGCACCCTACAGTGAAAAACTCTCAAAAAACAAAAACAAAAACTTACACATCCTTATATTTCAATTTTTTCTTTAAAAGAAGTGAATTGTGTATAGGGGGGTTAAACGCTTTATAGAAAGGGGGAGGGAAATGGCGCTAGAATTAACTTATCCTCTTCACCTCCTTCCTCTCTTCCTCTTCCTTTTCTTTTTCTTTTCAGCCTTGACAACTCCTTTTTTTTTTTTTTTGCACCAGGCTTTCCTTTAGCTCAGTATGCAGCAATGTCCTTTTTGTATTTTTCCTTGAGCTTAGCAGCCTTTTTTTCATAATGCTGTTCATCATCTGCAGCAGTGTTATTTCATATCTCTCCCAGTTTCTTTGCAACAGCAATAATGGAGAGGCCAGGATGCTCTCCTTTGATTTGGGGGCAACACTGAGACTAGAACAAGAAACAAGGCCAAAGGAGGCCTCTTGGGTGCATTAAGATCTTGAATTTCTTTTTTGTTTCCCCTTTAAACGGGATATAGGTTTTCATTTCTCTCTCTCTCTTTTTTTTTGAGAGGGTTTTACTATAGGGAACATGTACTTGCCAGAGAGACAGAGAGAGAGACAAAGACAGAAAGAGAGAAATCACCACCCGGGGGGATGGCCATGCGGCAATCCCTTCTCCTCCATTCTCCTCTCGGGATCTTGGGCACGCATGCACACACGCCTGGCATGAGTTTGAGCCACCGGGTCCGGGACTCGAACCATGGTTGACTACATGGGAGTCCAGCGGCATAGCCATTACGCTAATTGCTGGTCCCTTCATTTCTCTTTCATAATGGGCCTTGTCCTCTTTTGCCATATCTTCAAACTTTCCTTTCTCTTTAGCAGACATGGTCTTTCACCTCTGAGAACTTCTTAGAAAACTCTGAGAAGCTGACTGAAGTATCTGGGTGTTTTTTCTGGTGCTCCTCCAGGCAAGTTTGCACAAAGAATGCTTATGAGGACATTTTGCCTCTTGGCTTCTTAGGCTCTCCTTTGCCCATGTTTAGTTATCTTTCCTCTGTGAGGCACAGAGTTGCCAAGTGCCCATCCAGCTTTCACTTGCTCTAGCAGTGTCTCTATGGAGCTCAATGTACTGTAATGTCTCCATTTTTAATTTTTTAAATCTAAGCCATTCTGACTGGGGTTAGGTGGTATCTCATTGTGGTTTTGATTTGGATTTCCCTTATGGTGAGGGAAACTGAGCATTTTTTCAGATGCTGTCTGGCTGTTCATGTGTCTTCCTTAGAGAGTTGTCTCTTCAGCTCATTTGCCCATCTTTTAATTGGGTTATTTATTTATTTAGGTGGGTGTAAGCTGCTTGAGTTCCCTGTATATTCTGATTATCAGTCCCTTTTCTGAGGTATAGTTTGTAAATACATTCTCCCACTCTGAGTGTTGCCACTTCACTCTAATTATTGTTTCTTTTGCTGAGCAGAACTTTTTATCCTGATGTTATCCCATTTGTCTATTTTTCGGATTATTGTCTATGCTTTAAGGGTCTTATTTCAGAAGTATTTGCTTGTTCTGATGTCTCTGCGTTTCACCTGCATTATCCAACAGCAGTTTAAGGCCTTAGGTTTAGATCTTTGACCCATTTTGAGCTGATTTTTTGTTAATGGTAAGAGAGAGAGGTCCAGTTTCATCTTTCTGCTGGTGGGATACCTAGTTTTCCCAACACTATTTGATAAAGAGGTTTTCTTCTCCCCACTGAATTGACTGGTGCCCTCTGTCAAAAGTCTGTTGGTCATAAGTTTTGGGATTTATTTCTGGGGTCTCTATTCTGCTACATTGGTTCACATCCCTGTTTTTGTGCCAATTCCTCTCATCTGTGATTTCTTTCTTTTCTTTTTTTCTTTTTTTTGAGAGATTTTTGCTATAGGGCACGTGCACTCACTTAGCAGACAGAGACAAAGAGACAGAAAGTGAGAAATCATTTCCCAGAGGGGATGGCCATGCTGCAATCCTTTCTCCTTCATTCTCCTCCCAGGCAAGCACACACACGTGCCTGGTGTGAGTTTTAAGTTGCCAGATCGGGGACTTGAACCATGGTTTACTACATGAGAGTTCAGCAACATAACTGCTACACCATCTACTGGTTCCTCTCATTGTGATTTTAATTTCCATTTCCCTGATGATTAGTGAGGTTGAGCAGCTTTTTCTTTTTTTATACCTGTTGGCCAACTGTAAGTCTGAAAAGCTATTTTAATAGCTCATTCAGCTGAAAGTTAAATTTTCAAAGAAAATGACCACGTATTTTCCAAGTATTTTTGCAGGAAATTCCCCTAACAAGTAATGGATAATAAAGAAATTCCCCTAACAAGTAATGCTTCAATAAGGAAGCATGCTTTTCCTGTTTGTATCATAACTATTTTCAGTGTAAATTTTAATGGCTGAAAATAAATTTGAGAGCAAATGTCCAGCTTCTGAGTGGGACCCTTTGTACCATGAGCAACCAAAGAGAGACTTAAAAATGGGTGATGCTGAGAAAGACTAGAAGATTCTTGTTCTGAAGTGTGCCCAGTGCCATACCGTGGAAAAGAGAGGCAAGCACAAGACTGGCCCAAATTCCCATAGTCGGCACTGGGCAGAAGACAAGTCAGGCCCCTGGATTCTCTTACACAGACGCCACAAGAACAAAGGCATCACTTGGAGAGAGGACCCGCTGATGGAGTATTTGGAGAGTCCCAAGAAGTACATCCTGGAACAGAAGTGATCTTTGCTGGCATTAAGAAGTCAGAGCAGAGCAGTAGAGTTAATATCTTATCTCAAAAACAAAAACAAAACCAAGCTACTAATGAGTAATAGTGGCTATCGCCAACTTTTTTATTTATGACAAAAAAAGAAATGTCTTGACTTTTCCATAGGTACCATAATTTAACTGATCTCCTACACTAGAATTCAGATCAGAAATGGCTGACAGGATATTTTTTATTGGACGGTACTGATTTAAGTAAGACTGGCCTATGGTTAAATGGATATTTTCAATTTTTAAAATTTTGACAGTAATTACAGTTCAGTAAGTGCTATCACTATGTGCTCCTTCTAAAGATGTGATTAGTACTTGATTAGAAATGCTCAACTTTTGCTTTTAATTTAAAATGATTTTTATTTAACATTTAATCATTGTACATCTTTATAGCACACAATATGGTTTTCCCCAAAGCATACATGCATTGGATGTCAATCAAATGCTCAACTTTTTACAAAGATGGTGAGTGCCATCTTAAAATCTAATGGAGATTGGTTTTATATTCAGATATGTAACTGGTTAGATACATAAATAACTGACAGGGAAAGCCTTTCAATGTCTCAGAACCAAGCTGACTCACCTATATTTTGATTTGTGTTCATTAATACACTACAGGCAGGAACTGAAGATAAGATAGTAATATCTACTTTATATTTTTGGTCTTCACTATGTCAATTGAATTAGAGGCACTGTTAGGGTGGTTTATATATAGTATCAAGTAAAGCATATGTAACATTTTACATATTTTATAGATGATTCCCAAGGTCAGACATTTCTGAAAGTCAGCATGACAAGATTTAGTAGCAAGTTAAACTTCATGTTTGAATTCTTTATTGTTTAAGTCAGACTAAGTGATAATTCAGAACTGTCTTGAAACAACTTGTCAAAACCATATAAAAACCGTAGAGCTACCGTGTATGCATGATTGGTAACGGGCTTTTGCCAGTTCATTAGAAGGATTAAAAGAGAGGAGATAGGCCATCAGCACAGATTTGTAAATCATGTCCTCCTAAGACCCAAGATAATGAAAAACAAAATGACAGATTTTGAAAAAATGAAATTTGAAGGTTGTTTGAGATCAACTTTTCTAAAATCATTTTCAGAAATAATGAAGTATAAAAAATTGTCACAGTTTTTACAAAAAAAAGTTGAAGAAATTCAACATTTTTCTTCTTCCATTTTCCTTCCCTCATTCTGCTCTTCTGCTTCTCTTTTCCATTCTCTTTGCTTTTGAATGCATTCTTATGAGAAAAATTTAGTACATGAAAATACCATCATGAAATACCAATTACACAAAGTATTAAACATTTTTAATTTAAAAGCTGGGGCTTAGAGTTTGAATTATCCTGCACAGAAGAAACGAGAAGAGTGAGAAAGTAACCATGCATCAAAGAAAACTGAGGCTGCTGGAGAGTCATACCGACTTCAGCACAACTCTCGGGTAAATGGTAAAGCTCATTTTATTTACATCACTTGAAGGAGAAAGAATGACCCCCAAATAGGTAACACACAAAAGAGAAAGACCCTTTAAGTTTAAATGTATATGGGTATTCTCTCCATAGATATTAAGACATTACCTTGATAGTGGAGGTAAGTGGAGAGATTGAAAATAAATTCTTTTTTTAGACCTTAATGCTCATTTAGTCTACTTGCTTCCAATTTTTTTTTTCAGTGTAAAAGTCCTGCCTGATTTTTCTGGTACGTTACTAATATATATTCAATATTTGGTTAATATTTTAGTATTCTAACATTTTAAGAAAACGTTTTTTATCAGGCTTATAATAACCAAGACTTAACTTTTAGAAAATAGTGTACCTTGCTGCTAGTGATTCTCTCTTCACTGCAGACATGCATGTCTGCACCACCAGGTCCCAGAAAATGCTAATTAGATTTTAGGAGACAGGTCCTGCCTCTGACTGTGTAAATGTGCTGAAATATTAGTGAGGATATGATTTCTCACACTTTGGCCTTTTGATGAAACGCCTTTCCGATACCAGTGTGTCATCTTATCCTACAATTTCACACATCAGCTGCCGGGGTATCTAGCCTGAGAGCCCAGTTTCACATTGCACTAATGAGTCAACACCTGTTAAGAGTGGAGAAATCTGAACCTTGTTAGCGATTGTGAAGCCTCCTGGGAGATCGGGGCTGAGCATTGTCATACTCACCGCCAACATGTCTGTACTGAGGACCCTGGCAGCAGCCGTGATGAAGTCCCCCACCAGCATCGAGAAGCCAGGCAGACCCAGGGAGAAAAAGCGTGGCGGACAGTGCCTTATAATGGTATTTAAGACATCCTAAAGGGGAAGATAAGAAAACATGGTTGTCATTTTTCAAGAACGAAAGCCTAAAGTGGTGAGGTGGTGTATACATATGACCAACTGTATAATAATCTTGGAGCACAGAGATGACAGAGATGCTTCAGTGACAGGGGCACACTAAGGGTTACTGTACCTATTTTACAAGTAGGAGAATAGACACACCAAACTGTAAAATGACTTGTCTAAACTCTTACGCTGTGGCAGTGGGACTAGCATTTCTTTTTTTTTTTTCTTTTTATGAGAGTCTTTTGCTATAGGGCACGTGCACTCGCCAGATAGACAGAGAGAGACAGAGAGAGACAGAAAGTGAGAAATCACCCCCCAGGGGGGATGGCCACACTGCAATCCCTCAATCCCTTCTCCTCCATTCTCCTCTCGGGATCTTGGGCACACACACACACGCGCTCGGCGTGAGTTTAAGCCGCTGGGTCTGGGACTCAAACCATGGTTGACTACGTGGAAGTCCAGTGACATAGCCATTACACTAACTGCTGGTCCCAAGACTAGCATTTCTTCTGTCTTCCATCTAAAGCTGGGCTCCTTGGACAGAGTACAGGAATAATGAGGTGGGTATATAAATAAGACCTCCAAACTTTCACAAAACAAAGACTACATTCAGTCTTTAACTTTCAATTGTCAAAAGTTAAGGTTACATTAAAAATCTTAAAGTAGTGAAAGAGATGAGAATTTTCACTCCTTGAATAATTTTATCAACTAAGAAGTGGGAATGCTGGAGAACTAGGATAACGATGTGATCAGTGGTAGGTGAAAGTCTGGGAGTCGGTTTGGATTTGAGCACGAGTGTGACCAAAAGTGCAAGGACAGAATGTAACAGGAAGCCTTCTGCACAGTATGCAGTGTAAAGAGCACTGTCCTCTCAGACACCAGTGACTGGGCCTGTGCTGGCCGCTCCCCTGCCCCTGCTCTGCTGTTAGGCAGTCACCTGTCTCTGCCCGTTGCAGACCAGGGCTTCACCACTGGAAAGCTTCACTTTACCCATGGCCAGACTTTGGCTCTGGGGCCATCTGTGCATGTGTGTATGGTGGTAAGTGTGTGCAAGAGGGGTGAGTAAGAAAACCTCTGGCTTCTTTTTACGCAGTTTTAGGCAGGCACATTAATCGAACGCACAGAAGTAAGACACTGCAGTTATGCGACGGAAGTTACACGACCTATACGTAGTCTCAATATACCAGTAGGAAGCAAAATCCAAACACTCTGATTCTTTTTCTTAAATTTTGATGTGGCTGTTTGAAAAATCATTTAAAATAATTCTGATTTAGTTCAGTTAAATTAAGCAAAGTAGAAACACACAAAATTTTAACATGGTAGCTTAAATCCTCCATAATAACATAACCTAATTTAAGCTTTTTTTCCTTCAAAAAGAATGACATATGCTTGCAAAATATTTTTTCCTAAGCCTTATTTTTTGGTACATAGTTGACTGTACAGTACTTAATTAGAGTTCCCATATGGTAAACAGATAAGTACTAATTTCAAGTTTAAGTATTTCAACAGACTTTTTCCTACACCGAAAATAAACAGATATACAGACAGCTAGATAGATAGATAAGTAAAAGGAAGGAAAAAGCAAAGGAAAGAAAACTGAACCACGCTTCTTCCAGGTTAATGTTTAAGCCTGCTTTAATCACGTCCTTTGATACACGTTAGGGTCCATATCAGCCAAGGCAAACATTCTAAGGGGCCGAGCAGATGGACGCTGTAGTTTAGAAAGTGTGTGGTAGACTCTCGCTCCAAGACTGGAACAAAAGATCCACCTTTTTCATAATTAAGCCTCTGATTAATGCCCTGGGCTCCTCACCACACACCTGTAATTACTCACAGAGGTACGCATTGTGCTGGGCCTTGTCTCGGAATATCAGGCATCAAGCTATCCGCAGCAGATGGAAGCACGTTTCTGTTGACATATGCCGCAATGAAAGGATTCGTGCAAACCTGGCCAGCGAGGTAGCAGAATGCCATGCATGTGAAGATTAATAATGCAAACAGCCATGATGTTAACTTTGTTATGGTTGTGCTCATTCCATCTGTTGAGATGAGGAACTAAACCTTGAAGCCTGTGGGTTTTAAAAATCTTTAGCACATACTTAAATAAGTCATTTTCACCACTGGAATTTAGAGTTTTAATTTAAAAAATGCATTGCTGGCATAAGTTTATGGGAATTACAAACTAAATCCTTGAACGAGCTACAGCAGCGATCCGTAAATGGAGTGTGCATTGCTTGGTAAGCTTCGTATGTGTCAAGGCGATGATCTGTAAAATGGGGCATTCAAAAAAAATTACTAAGTTGCTATTGATGCAAACGACAATGGGTATGTGTGTAGCTGACATGAAGTTGCACGGCCCCCCCAGCGCCTGGACCTCAGCCAGTCACTTCAACGGAACCTGTTTCTATGGGCAAGAAGATCAGAGAGAGAGGGCAAAGTAACAGATGGCTAGCCTACCCGATCCTGCCACCCACGAAAGACAGTGCCCGAGGAGAAGCAGGGCCTGTGCTGGGAGTCGCCAAAGACAGCGCTGGGGGAGGTTAATGTGGGGGCTGAAGGGGGACTGTATGACCAGTCAGCTCAACTGTGGCCAGGTGTCTGTTTTTTTTTTTTTTTTTTTGCTTACCCGCACTGAAACGGAATGACACAAAGATTTGATCTATGTAATTTTTTTTCTTTTAGTTTTTGCCATTGGGCATGTGCACTTTCCAGAAAGAAAAAGAGAGACACAGTGAAAGGAAAAGTGAGAAATCACCTCCCCAATGGGGATGGCCACATCACAATCCCTTTTCTTCCATTTTCCTCCTGGGATCTTGGGCACACATACATACACATGCCTGGTGTGATTTTCAAGCTGCCAGGTCTAGGATTCAAACCGTGGTCAGCCCTAAGGGAGTCCAGGACCTTAACCACACCTTGTCACCTATTGGCTCCTTTGGATAACATTTTGAAATCATAAACAATCACATGGGCTCAAAAGAGAGCAGCAGCAAACTTCCAACCAAGGGACGCCAGCGAAGTGCTCTGCTCACTTCTGACTCATAGTAGAATCTGACTTTCACCTTTCCTGAGATAGGTCAAGATGATGACTATAAATGGGATCTGTGGCAAGATGAAGTAAAAATCTCAAGACTCTCAAACTTTCTTCACAGCCTTAGAGGCTTTATATACACAAGGACAGGTAGCCCTTCCCAAACATGTATAACCCTCCCATCCTTTACCATGTCCACATCCAAGGCAAATGTTCTTTGCCTAATAGGTTTATCAAAGTGACTCGCTCTTCTTGAATTTAAAGAAAATTGTTCTGGAAAATGACTATCCTTTGTCGTAAACAGAAAATACTCCTGAAATTAATCCAGTGACAGTAAGCTAATGTTACTGAAATTTGGCTAAAAATATCTCAGTTCAGTGAATTGTCTGGGTCCTTGACCACTTCTTGTTACAAAGGGCAATTTACGGGACCAGCAGATGGCATAATGGTTATATCATTGGACTCCCATGTAGTCGACCACAGTTCAAGTCGCAGACCGGTGGCTTAAAACTCACACAAGGCGCATGCGCATGTACGCCCAAGATCCTGAGAGGAGAATGGAGGAGAAGGGATTGTGGTGTGCCATCCCTCTTGGGGGTGATTTCTTGCTTTCTGTCTCTGTCTCTCCAGTGAGCACCTGTGCCCTATAGCGAAAAGCCTCTCTTTAACTAAAGGAAGGGCAATTGGCAAGGTCAGGGGGATGTGGGAGCAGTTCCTCCATCCATCGAGTCCAGGGGCCTGACTGAGAGCACTACAGGACTGGCAGCCCGGGAGGGCCCTGGCTCCCATGATGATTCGGTGCTGTCAGAGCTGCCTCCAATGTGACCACAAGTGAGAAATGCCCTGTACTCAACTCTTGACTCTGGTGTGATGAAAAGAACTGTAGAACTTGGGCCCCAAGGCCTGGGGTCAAAGTCTCATGCATGTCCTCATGGGCAGATACTGTCATGCCTAGAGTGTGACATTTCTCTTCTGTGAAAATGGGGGGGGGGGCTCTCCCTTTAGTTGAAACTGATGGGAAATAGATGTGTTCATATATGTCTCTGTAAACTGAACAGGGCCATACAGAGCTAAACAGAGTAGCAAGTAAGAAAGTTTTTTTTCAAACAGCTAAGGACCTTGAAGATTTTTATTTGGTAGAATTTACTTTAGGGATTTTAGATTGTATAATTTAGTGAACTATTACTTTGTTGATTTACAGAAAGACTTTGAAATATCTTTTTCAAGAATTATTTTGTAAAAATGTGTGGCAAAATTTTTTATTTATCATTATTATTTAATTTGCTACATGGCACATGTGCTCACCAGAGAAAAAAGGTGAGAAAGCAAGCTACCAGGTGTGGGACTCGAACCATGGTAGGCCATGTAGAAGTCCAGCATCCTAACCACTGTGCCACCTACTGGCCCCTGAAATATTTCAAACGTGGCACAAATGAGCCTCTTAGATACATTATCCCAGAAATTAAAGAGCTCTAGAAATTAGTGCTCTCAAGCATCATCCTTAATAAAGCATTTCCGGGGAACCAGCAGTAAGCGTAATGGCTATGTCGCTGGATTCCCACGTAGTCGACCGCGGTTTGCGTCCCGGACCCGGTGGCTTAAAACTCACGCTGGGCGCGTGTGTGTGCGTGCCCAAGATCCCGAGAGGAGAATGGAGGTGAAGGGATTGCAGCGTGACCATCCCCTCTGGGGGGTGATTTCTCGTTTTCTGTCTCTATGTCTCTCTCTGTCTGTCTGGCGAGCGTACGCGCCCTATAGCGAAAACCTCTCCAAAAAATAAATAAATAAATAAAATAAAACAAAGCATCTCAGCAATTACCCATAGTGAATATATGGGTCCTTTAAACTTTTCACGAAAAAATGGAATTAAAGCACAAAGTTTATTTTAGTGCAAAAAAAATGTTGAATTCAATCATAGTGGTTTCATAATATGCATTTT